ACCCCTAGCTGAGGGGCTGTTGCCAGCTATCAAATCAGGCTGCCCAGGCCTCATCCAACCTGGCCTTGGCACCTCCAGGGATGGGTCAACCACAGCTCTCAGGGCAGCATGTGCCAGGGCCTCACCACCCTCTCTGTGAAAAACTTACCCAACATCTAATCTGAATTTCCATCCTTAATGAACTTTCCAAATTATTTAAAAAAAAACAAAAACTGGGAACCGAAGGTCACCAAATCCCCATGCCAGTGCTCCTGGGGCTAACTAGTTGTAGCTGTAAAATTTGGCTGGGCGGACCTTTTGAATAGTTTATGTGTCTATTAAAACATTGTTTATGTCTTCTGTTCACATGGCACTTGAAGTGCCTGGCACCAGTTTCTCCTGTACAGTGATGCTGTATCAGTGTTTCAAGATCAGCTGTGGAGTCTGTGCAGCTAGCTGAGCACAACTGACACACACCCTTTTGCCCAAGCTCTTTTCTTTCCCATCTATCCCTTCCCTAGTAGATCGGTCACAGGGAGCATTCAACTTGGAAGCTGCTCTGTTGTTGAAATGGTAGATCTAGCCTTAAGGATGCCTGTAAGAACTGGAATTAAAAGGCTCAAAAATGAGCGTGGTTGGGAGGTTTTTAAGGTCATGTTTATGCAAGTGGAACAAGGTTGAAGAAGTTAATTCCTTGTTGAAAAATGATAGGGCATTAATCTCACTTAGGATGATAGCAGGCCTCTAAATAAGATTTCCTTTTCTTACATAATATGGGAACAATGTACAACAGCTAGAACAGGGGGAAAGCTGTAGTGCTGCTGGTGCTCAGATATTAGAGGCTGTGGCCCTGGTGCAACACTCCTCAGTGCAATAATGAGGACCTGCAGAAGTACAGCATCTGCTATGAATGCATTGACTGCATCTTAACAATAATCCATTGGAAAGCTACTTGCATCATTGATTGTGCAGGAGGGACTAGTGGTATGAGCAAAACCACAAATCTCTTTATATGAAGAGCTTTATTCCTAACATAGTAATTAAGCATTAATTGGAAGTTTAGTGAGTAATGGGAATAGTTGCAGGAAACTAAAAGAACTTGTCCACGGGGAAAAATTGCATAGTGCCAGCATCTCTGGGGAGCAGAAAAGAATTGCAGAGAAAGCTTGGATGTTTTTTTCACATTAATCTCAGATGAAATTCCATTCCTAATTTATTAACATTTTGGGGAAAAATTATGAACGTGTATTGAAGGCTTACATCCAGTACACAGAACTCATAACCATGGGAACAAGGCACAAATGAATTTATAGGGTTGTAGCATCGTTCTGACACTAAGGGAATGGGAAGGACTACTTCACAATGGCATTTTAGACATTACGTGAAAGTAAAGTCTTTCCAGGCATACCGCTAATCAGTATTCCAACTGAAGTAAGAGATGCTTGAGAACCTTAACTTCCAGGAAGATGCATTCTCCTCTACAAGAACCTTTAAACAACCTTATTAGAGATAAGTCAGCATTGTGATGTTCTCTAGGACTTGACTATTACTTCCTTAAATCCAGAAGTTGACCATTACTTCCTTTTTTCACAAATCTGATTTATTGATTGTCAAAAGCGGACACAAATAGCAGCTGAAAAAAAGGGCAAAATTAAATCAATTCTCTGGTGCATCAGGCAGCAGGAATTGTATCTGGTGTAAATTCACTTCCAAGAAGCTAACAAGATGAAATTTAAGATGGCCAGAACCCATTTTCTTTAACACCACAGCAAACAGGAATCTTATAGTGATACCTTAGAAAGAGGGTTGATATTTCAGGATGTAATTCTGCGTCACAATTAAATGTCAAATGTTTTAATACATGTATAATTAAGGAGGAGGAATTACTGCTTTCAGACACCATTGGGTTTATGCCTGACACTTCATTTGAAACACTAGCACAGTTATGATTGTTACACTGTCCTTAAGAGACAAGAAGGCCAGTGTCTCTCTCTAATAAAGGTGTTGCAACAAGGCAGTTTACTGCTCACATCTATTAATCTGTTGTTGGGGGTACCTGGGACAAGTCAGTGTCATAAAAGCCTACATCCAGATGTGAATTCAGTCTTGGGTTTTCCTATGCATACTTCAAAGCTCTTCTATAATAAAACAAGAACAAGTAAAACCTGAAACTTTCTTCTTAATATATTTCTTAGGACATATTGCTTTCCCTTTTTGATAACTTCACTTAGAGGAATGGGTTTGGAACCAGCTGACTTTAGTTCCATCCCTGCAAAATTCTGTTTAGTCAAGCACAAGTATTTCTGGGAACTTATACTTGTTGCACCTGACAGCATCATGCTGGGGCTCTGGGAGGCTAAACTTAACGAGTGGCCTTTCTAAAAGCATTTTAGATAATTAGAATTAAAGAAAAAAAAAACTGTATTGCTTGTTGGAAGACTTTCCAGGTTGAAATCCTGTCACTGTACAGTTTGATGTTGTGTCACATAAATGTAAGATATTTTTACACAACTTGTGTTTTCAAAAGGAACCATGTGTGACAGTGCTGTTATAGAAGCATTTATAGAAGCATTATTTGCAACCAGAAGTCTCTAATAAAAGCTTATAGTCTATTTAATGCTTAATATTGTACAGAAATTAAAGAACATTTTCTCATAATATACACCTGGGTACACATGAACTATTCTGATTGGACAATTTGTTCAAATTTCTTTAGTTCAACCTATTATATTTTTGCTATATTACTTAGAATATTTTGGCTTAATGTAAGAGCTTTCCCTCAAAATGCTTTAATTTCATTGCAACTGTTATGGAATGACCTATCACTCTGTAGTGTCCTATCTGTATGGGACACCTCATTTCTGTGTACCATTTTTCATCTCAGGAGTGTGGATGAGAAGGAAGAAATGTTATAAACCTATATGAAAATGTTTTAGATAGTCTTACCTTCTAAATGCCATTTATTTCCAGAGTCATTTAAAATAGATTATGATGAGAGACTTAAGATGCACCTGTGATTAGAATTTTTTTGGGAAAAAACTAGTCCAGTCAATTGACTTGCAAAAAAAAAAAAATCTAAAAAATAACAGCTTATATGATGTTTATACACATCATAAAAACATCTCTGTTCTGCTCCACATCTTTCTCAGCCTTTCTCAGCTTCTCAAATAATATTTTCTAAATAAGTAAGTAATAACAATCAATTCTTCTGCATAGACCTGCTTGGTCTGTTCCCAATTAAATTTTTATTAGCAGAAACTCAGCACTTTCATGTAACATACAGATTCTTGAGAGAGAATACCTATTAAGGTGATTATGTGCACTGCACAGATACAGATGCTCCTGAGCTTGATTCTGGCTGCTGCTGTAGCTGCTCTATGCTGGTATATCAAGTTGTATTACATCAGTTTGCAACAGGCATGAATGTACCTGGGGAAAAGTGAGTCCTCAAGAGTGAAAAGCCTGTAGCTGGAGACTGGCCATATGGCCATATACCAGAGACAAAACTCATGCCACCTCTGAAATGTCACCTAGCCAGCTCCTGTGTTAAGGAAAAGGCGTAATACAACATATCATTACTTTCTCTCCTTTGATATCCTGTGTTTAGCAAACCTCAACCAAAGCCAAGACCTGTAGTTACCATTTTTTGTTCACTGGTGCCTGGGGGGCTTTTTTCTTGTTTACATCCTAGCAATGTCTTCTTTGTGTCTGATGTTTTCAATGCGAGCTTTTCAATTTTATAAACATCTAATTTGTTACCTTCCTTCCCATGGCCTTTATTTTGTTCAAAATTCCATGCCTCGTTTATAAATGAAATTTAATTATCACCGTTCCTGCTTGTAATTAGACAGCAGAATTTGCTTCAGACTTTCCAGTTGTTCATCTTATAGAAGACTGATTTTTAAAATTGCTATTTATTAGTGCAGGATCTATTCTCTCTTTCCAGAAAATATCCTCTTGTGAGATAACTCAGAACATTTTGGCTTAACAGATTCATATCAGTGTATCTCTAAAGAAAAGTGCAAGAATAAAGCCATTTTTCTGTGACATCTCATATGTCATTTTTACTACATTTTAAAGTAGGTATTTTTTCAGTGCCTGTTGATCTAACTGCATCTGTTTGCTTTTCATCCTCTAATTTAGCTCAGGCTGTAAACTGTCCAAGTAACAATTTGAGTGATGCAGCAACAGAAGGTGACCCAGATTACACAACACTGTACGCTAATGCCAAGTCTTCTTGTCTAATGGCAGCTGCTCAAAGCTTTGTCTTATTGCAATTCACATTCAGCATACACAAATCAAACAGCCTCCTCAGACAGACACGCATCCCGCCTGTCTTCATTTTAAGCATGTTTAAGAGCTGCTGCTTTACATAAACATACACCAGCTGAGGCCACTTAGCCTCCTTGGATTTGATTTAGCCAACATCTCTCAGCCCTCTGAGAAAATTGCCAAGGAAACCCGCTGCCATTCCCAGCACTTTGCATGCTTCTCTTTTTGTGGAAGTTTGCTGTAAATATTTTCTCTATTAAAAGTAGTTGAGTTTTCATACTCTCTCAAATATATTAGTTGTTTAGCAACTGATTCCTTTTGTTTTAATCAAAAAGTCAACATTTATATCATAAAATAATGTGTACTGCTAAAATACGTAACTTGTACAGATGTAGTAAAATATTATGTATTTAAAACAGCTAAGTTTACGTATACTGAGTGAATGGTAACAAAATGCAGACTTCATAGCTAAAATTTTATCAGAACATTTTACTACTACGCTTTCAGTATGTGAAACAAAATAATAAAAAATGCCTTTGTTCTTCTTTTAAGGCAAAATATTAGTATGAAAATCAGGAAAGCCAACGCACAGTGAATTTATGCGACTTAGCTTTCTAGAACCAAATCTTTTTGGCATCTCCATCAAATGTTTAAAGTCTTCTGACAACAGAAGCTTCCTGCTGGAAGCGCACGTCTTCCAGTCTACCCAGAGGACATGTCAGAACAATAAGAAAAAGAACCAATCTTACTTTTTAAGTGGAGGAGCAGGAAAAAACTGAGGTAGAAGACGAATAGAGAGTTAATTCTTGAATGAGCCATGTTCATCCTGATAGGACATCCTCTGACAAGTTGTCTCTTCTCCAAAAGGCTGGTGCTGATCCTCACAGCTTTCTCCTCATCTCCAGCACTAAGGTGCCACCAGCAGCACCAAGCCCACCACAGCCCATCGTTGCCCGTGGCCCTCAGCAGCCCGCTCCCTGCAGACTTTGATTTGGAAGGCAGTTGTTCTTGCTAAGGTTTTACTTCAGCAGGTCCGAGTGATTTTTCAAACCTGGTGCAGATTTGTGTGCGAGCTGGACTGGAGTCTTGCCCGGCTGTCAGCAGCGGGAGTGTCACAGTCTGTGCGGTGTGTGGCTGGCAGGGCAGGCAGCACTCTGTGCATGGAAAGATAAAGAGCCTCCTGCATCATCTTCTGAAGCTCCATTACATCACGTTCCTTCTGATTCAGAGTATAAACCCTTCGTGCCTTTTCACATGAAGTCTGCTAACAAAAACTTTGTGTTTTCTGCATTTTTTTTTTCTGTGTCATACCTCATTAGCAGACAAAGTAAAAAGATGAAACACTCCCACTTTCAGTCTTTTTGTAGTCATTTATTACTTGATTCTCTTCCAGAATCTTAGTTACTTAGTTAATTTGTTTGTTGGGGAGGAGGGGAAGGGTCGTTGTGGTTTTCTTGTTTGTCTTTTAAACTGCTTTTAGTTTGTTTAGGGGTTTTGTTGAGATTTTCTTGTTTATTTTGTCTTTTAAGCTGGTTTTAGTTACTACTGTCATCTTTTTTTTTTTTTTTTTTAACAAAATGATATAAAAACTTGGAGGCGCTATCAGGACCTGCTCTCTCACTGTAATTTTGAAGTAGGAAGGCCTTTCATTTGCAAAGTCAGGGAAAGATGGAGTTAGATGGATAAGAAAAGGGGATGGTGCCAGGGGCCAGACCACTTCTTTCTGGCCACATCTGCCTTCAGTAAGCCCAGTGATGCAGCAGGAGCCTCCCCCCAGGCTGCTATTCCTTCCTTGCTGCACTGCACAGGCACAGGCAATGCCCTTTCTGCTCAAAGGTGCCTCCATGTCTGATGCTCATCAGCTGACCTGCAGCTTTGTTCACAGAACGCAACAATATCGTGTAAATGTGTATGCTGATGTTTAAGTTCAATAGTTGCCTTTAGGATAGCCAAAAGAGGATGCCAAAAGAGCTGCTTTTTCATCCTGTTTGAAACTTCATTCTGCCTTTCTCAATGCCTATTTCAAATTTTTCTTCTTTCTGATGAGCGATTCATATCCCAACATTTAATGATGAGCAGATTAAATTAACTTACCACTGCTCCAGAAGTTGCTGAAAGAGAAGGGTTTGAATTTCTGTGGTGTTGGTACTTTGTGAACGTCATTTGCATGCAGTGAAATGTAACATCCGAATGTATTTTTGATACTTTCTCAGTATCTCTTCATTTTGATGAGATTCTGCAGTTAAATAAGTTGTAGGCTGTGCCACTTTCTCGGAGAAAAGGTCTTGTGTTGAACATTCTACTTTACCTAAGCGCTGTCCTTTCTGTTCTGATTGCTCCTTTACAATAATTACAGTGCAGTGTGGTATCAGACTATACACACCAGTGTCATGTCCTCTAAAATATTTTGCTGCGTCTCTGGCAGGCAAACTTCATCACCTAACATCTTTTGTTGCCTGATACAAGCACAGTTTTCAACTTTCAGATGACAGCAGCACTAATTAATGGCGTGTCTTTTGCCTGTCACTGCTAGATGGTGAGACTGTTTACTCATCCAATTTAAAGTGCAATTTTTATTAATGTGATTCTGTGCCAAATACAATTACAGGTGATTTTCTTAAGTAATTAATCTTTTCTAGTCTGCAAAATGCTGCAGTATTTTTTAATCTAAACTCTAAAGTGAACAGAACTAGAGAAGCTAAATATTCCATATAAAATGTAAAATTCCCTTGAAAGTAGTTGATGCAAATTTACAAACCATTTGTAGCTGATTAACCTGAACTTTTTTTTAGTACGTGCTTTTTGGTCATTGGCAATGAAAGCACAGGTAAATAGTCAGAAGCAGATGGATGATTTCATGGAAGAGTGAAACCATGATACAGATAATGTTGCCTAGAGAGACGCTGTGGATATGCAAAACTTGGTGGCACAAGGTCCTTCCTGGGCAGACTGTTTGAGCTGAGCCTACTTTGAGCAAGTGGATGGACCAAAGATCTCTGGAGATCCTTTCCTACGCATATCATCCCGTGATTTTCTCAGCATTAGATTTTCTGCACAAGCTCCAGCCTGTTTTAGATCAGTTCCCAGTTTTGTATTCCTAATGTAGAAAATCTTCTGCTTTATAATAAGCTCTTGTCATTGTTTTTTTGTTTGTTTTACTAGAGTCTTTGGTTTTCTTGCTAGTATTCAGCCACACTCTTTATTTTCATCTTCTGTTAAGTACTTGCCAAATTTCATCACAGTTATGTGCTGCTGTTCACCTTTTGTAGAATTTCACTTTCTGAAAAATCTATGAAACATGAGGCATGAAATCATCTCACAACTCAGTTGTGATGTCCGTTGGGCCTTCAAACCACTAGCAGACTTCTCAGCCTACACTGATTCTCTCATTCAAGCTGTCCTGTTGAATTCAGATAAACATATGGAAGATGCTTTGACACTTGTATGAGAAAAATGAGCAGAATTTGATCTATAGAACTATAGCTGTGTCTAAGGTACATTGTAACAGATTCATTTTAAACCACACATTTTTAAGAGAAAAGCAATAGAATTATATTTATCTCCAGCTAAATGCAGGTGCCCCCTGTATGAATTTAACAGCATGCATAGATACTGTCATCATGATTTGGGCATTAGAACATATTTCTTATGAACTTCTTGGGAACTCAGGATAATGGAGCCTGTTAGAACAATGGATCTAACAGTCCATCTTTCTGTTCATGATATTGATACCATCTTTAATAAGCACAGCTTACATTATGTTTAGATTGCAGTTCTTAGGATGATTATGAATGGACAAACCAACATGAATAAGGCTAAAGAGAGAGTTGCATTGTAATAGGAAGTTGTTTACTTCATTAACAAAACTGCTACAGATTCATTTGCATTTTAATTAGGCATCTTGCATCAAGAACAATTCTATGTGTGTGAATTTCACACAACACTTTCAAAGTTTACTGTCTTTAAGATACGTTAGGAAATTTCTTTGGCCAGAGAAGCTTTTCCACAGATAAATTCTTTATAATTACATTTACCTTAGGTTAGTTTGTGAATATTAGCTTTGAGCTTCCCTTTCTCTGTTGTTAGCATGTACCATTATTTTTTATCCCCTTTGTGAAGTCTTGCTTTGCTCTTTTGCTCCTCCTTGGCCTGAGCAGAACACATCCTACCAGAAGGCCCAGGCAGAGCATGGGCTTTCTGTTTTACCAATCTGCAGACTATAAATGGCTTGCTGAAACTAAAGGGTTGTATTTTACAATGCAAAATTATTTTGCAAGCTCTGCCTAGCCTTTTGCTTCCTTAAACACAATATGCGTTTTGATGTTATGAGCACTTTATTGCTTTTCTGTTTTCCACATAGCCATTTTCCAGCAAAGTAATCTGGGATTTCTACCTGCTAACATAGAACATGAATGAACTGGAGATTACAGAATTGTCAAGCCAATTCACTCAGATAAATCTTGTTTAGGCTGTGACAGAAATGGTGGGAGCAATGATCCAGCCTCTGCTCTAACAGTGCATTCAGCCACAGAACTACAAGCTGTGGTTGCTGGCAGCAGTACATGCTCTGGGTCAGCCACTAGTCCAGGTCCTGCTGTTCAAATCATTGCATTTCTGGAGAGGATTTTAAGCTGCTTTATTTGGGTTGGTTTGTTCGTTTGTTTACATACAGAACCTCTCCTGAGTATTTTACACTAAGCCAAAACAAACGATTCTGTAAGGAACTGCAGGATTCTCCTGGGACTTGCGGAGCTCTGTAGCGTGTGATTCACTTACCTCCATCTTTGATGAAATTTGCCAAATAACATCTATTTATTGTATAGTGTGTGGCTAATACCACCAGGGAAGCAGTTTCACTGGCAGATGAATGCAAGGTCGGGCCTTGTCAACGCAGATGAAAATTTGCAATTAGTATTCTGTATCTTACTGCTAATGGACCGTCTAATCAGGAAGTTTGTCAGTACCAATAATCTTCCTGTGAGCTCCACGGTTACAGGACTACTTGAAAAATGAAGCAAACGATGTTTTTACAACAGCACTGATATGTTAAGCGCTAAACAGTTTGCAAATTTAAATTTCTCCTCTGTGCTTTTCACTCTAGCAGAATAGATATGTTGACTACTGTAATTTGCAGGTAGTGCAGTTTGCAATGGAAATGCAGAACACAGTACTCATCAAAGAGAATCAGTTGTAACAGGGAAATAGAGAAGTTTCTTAATTTTTTCCAATCTCTAATATCAATTTTTCCCCTTTTTTTCCATTCAGTTATTGTATTGCCTATTTGCATCAACATTTTTAAAAATGTCTGATGATTTGAGGCTTTTTAATTTACAGGTTACCAGTTGAAGGATGTGACTTCCAGAAAGTGCAAAGCAAAACTTCCCTGCAGGCATCTCTGAAGTATCTCAGCATGGGTCTTGGCAAGTATTAAATTCCTCTTGAAAATGTTGGCCTCTGTGCTAAAGCATTGGAGAATATTGTAGTAACAGTAGGTAGTAGTAAGTGCCCCAAAGGGATATCAAGTTCCTACTAAGTATTGGTTAAGACAGCATTCATCTTAATGCCAATGCACTTCTTATATGGCTGCATTTCTGTACCAAACTACATTCTGAAAGACTGTCAGTTTGAATTATATTGTTCACAAGGTAAAAATGAAATATTCTGGCTTCCAAACTTGTGTTGATTTAGAATATTTCACACCTATTTTATTCACTAAGTGTGACTCTGACTTCAGTGACGAGGACATACATGTAGGTGACATGATGTCACCCTGTTCCCATACCACTCAAAGGAAAATATCCCCTGGATGTAGATGGCACAGCTGGACCTCTGAGCATCATGTTGAATGTGATGGGGCAAAGAGTGGGTATTACTGTTATAATTTATCTATGTTCTTGCAGTATCCAGAGGCCAACTTATATCACCAGGCGGTTTGCTGCTGACTTCAGTCCCTTAACTGCATCTTAAATTTTCTGGGGGGGAAGGGAGGATAAGCTGATATCTTTGCACATGCTGAACTTTATCTTGTTTTAGGTATCAAGATTTCTTTTGGTAAAAAACAAAACAAAACAAAACAACCATTTTTATTAGTAACTTCTTCCAAAACAGCTGTGGTTATGTTTTTTTTGTGCCACCAATAGCTGCTGAGAGATTTTTTGTCTTAGAATCCGTGACTTTAGCAGCTGTGTTCACCACACACTGCTTTGTGGAAATCGGACTTCTCACTACAGGACTTTTGAAGACTTTTGCCTCAGGTCCTCAGCTAA